TATAATACAGACACTATTGTTTGTTGTTACCAATGGGTAACTATTGCTGGAATTGACAATACACTATTGGCATTTATGCATTTTGCAAAGAGGAAAAAGATATTCGTCTGTGGTAAAATGATTGCACTCTTAATAAGATAAAGAAGCTATCCAGAAACAACTGTAGAGCCAATTCTTAAATGTGGGCGAGCTTACTTTGTTAGCTGTTTAGCCCGCTGGCATACGGATATTGAAACTTGGTGCTATAGTATCATTATAATACAAGTCGAAAACAAACCCGTCTAAATTTGATCTGCAGTAGTGTGGGAGTAGTGGCTTCCCTTTATCCCTACAAATCAGGATCAGTTATGAAACATTGAGGCAAGCTCGTGATATTAATAGATAGAGTAATCAATTGGCCATATGACTTAGGTGTGCCTCAGAAGGACCTCAATCTCATCCCTCTCTGAAGACATGACTGACCTCTTATATCTCCGTCTGCTGTTTCTGTCTATCTTTGAACCTTTTTCGAGATCTAAATTACCGTTATTATGCCGATGTGTCTCTCTATTGTGTCGATCTTGGGGCGGAAAATCCTGTGTACTCCTGCTACAGCTGTATTGCTGATTGTGGCCCTGTGGCGTTTCTCTTTAGAAAAGAAAATGTCCTTAAAAATGTGTAGCATTGTATGGGTTTAATGCCCCTTACACCATTTTTAAAAGTCTATTTTAAGAGGCAGGATCTCCAAATTTGACGTGTATCTCCTATAAGACTTATCAAAAGGGAAAATTAGTTTAAAGTGCCTTTCTCAAGGACACATTATCGGACTAAGCTGAGCCTCGAACCCCTGAATCAACAATCTTACGATTGTGAGTTCGGTAGGCTTACCACTCGACTATCAACTCAGCCTTCCTTCTTTTCGGATTTCAAAGACACAGAATCATGGGGAAAAACTAACACGTTTCCTTATCCCGCACGAAAAACGATATGATATATCGGTTCATCTTAAACTCTCTTTCAAATCGAGTATGAAGTTTTAAAAATGAGTGCAAAAGATATTCTGACATTCTATGAATACACACAACAATATTATTTTTCTTTCCCGTCCTTGTTCTCCTGTATGTTGTGGAAAAAGAAACAAAAAAATTAAATAAAAAGGGATATAAAACACGAACCTAAGACAACTGCTGTTGGAGCTGAGCCGCGATCAAGATCAACTGAGCATCATGGCAGCCCATTCTGGATACATCAGCTTACCCCTGTGCATGACCTTCATGGTGCTGATGACTTCCGGTTTGGCGTCGGCAAGCTACAGGAGCTGCTTTGAGGTATACACGAGTGAGGGGATCGCCTCTTTGGGACATCTCGATCAGGCGTGTGCCAAAGTTGATGATCCGAAAGACGTGGGGAGGAAGTATGTAGAGTGTTTTGACGGGACCCTGAGAAAGAGAACGTGTCCTCCCTACTTGAGGTAGAACCATTATTGTATATCTCTGCTCCCCACCACCTCTCTTTTTCTCTCTCTCTCTCTCTCTTTCTCTCTCTCTCTCTCTCTCTCTCTCTTTCTCTCTCTCTCTTTCTCTCCCTCTCTCAATCTTTCCCTTGCCTTGATATCGCCGTTCTCCTTGTGAATGCTGAGTTGTTAGAGTTACTTTCGCTGACGCTGTTTTTATTGTTGTCGTTGTTGCTGTTGTTGTTGTTGTTGTTGTTGTTGTTGATGATGTAGTTGTAGATAGCAATTGTTACTCTCAGTGACGTTGCTAGTCTTGGTGTTGGGGTTGTTGACGCTTTGTCAAATTCTCAAATACTGTTAGCTGTTTGCTTGTTTTTCTGTTGATTGTTTTGGAGTCAGTGCTGAGGAGGACATTGTGGATGTCACTGGTATGTTAATTAAGTTTTAGTCATATTATCCAGCTTTGTTATTTACTTGAAGTCAATTATTCCCTTGTTGTTATAGTTGTTATTGTTGTTGTTATCGTTGTTGATAGTGACGGTTGTAGTGGTGATGATGGTTTAGTTATTCCTTTTGTAGATGGGGCATAGGTTGTCTTTTCTTCTTGCATCTGTCACTGTAACAACTGATGTCATCATCATCGTGTGTTCCAGAACTATGATTTGTTGAGTTTTAAAATTCAGATCAGCATTATTATAACCCCAGTGTTCTTTCAATATCTTGGCCCTTTTTGGCATTATTGTAATTGTAATTGAAAAAGTAGTAAGCCTCTTTGCGACACAAATTAGATCGTTACGGAGGCAGGTTGTTTCAAAACTGTCTGTGTGGGACAACCTAGGTGGAGAGGCATACATCGTACCAACATACAAAGATAAGCATCGATGAAGAAAAGAAAAAAAAAAGAGAGAGAGAGAGAGAGAGAGAGAGGGACAGAGAGAGAGAGAGAGAGAG